CTCTGGAAGGTCCCTGAGGTTTGGGTTAGCGGAGACTGCTGATCTTCCTGTGGGGTTGCTTTCCCCTTCAACTTCTTCAATCCTTCCCCTAATTTAACCATAGGCTTTCCCCACTTCATTTGGGTGTGTAAGTATCTGCTTCTGTCACAATCAGCTGCTAGTAGGAACTTTCAGAGGACAGCCATGCCAGGTTCCCATCTGTAAGCATATTATAGCATCAGGAATAGTGTCAAGCCTTGGTGCTCCCTGCAGCCCCCCCATGAGATGGATCTCAAGTTAGGCCAGTCATTGAACCACCTTTTCTTCAGTCTCATTTCCATTTTTTCCCTGAAGCTCTTTTAGATAAGAACAATTCTGGGAAATTATGACTGTGGGTTAGTAACCCTGTCCTTTCACTTGAGACCCTGTCTATGTACTAGAGGTGGACTCTGAGTTTCCTATACCTAGTGTTGGGCATTTAGGCTAAAGTCCTTTGAGTCCTTAGAGTCCCTCACCTCCAAGGTTTCTGATACTTTCTAGAAGTTCCCTCCTACCTCTCACACCTGAGGCTGCTTATTTCCATTCATTTTCTTGGTCCTCTGTGCTTCTCTCCTGTCTCACCCCCCCAATACAGCTGATCCTGTTCTCTTTTCCCCTCCCCTTTCCCTCTCTCACACAGATCCCTCCCTCCCTCTGCCTCCCATAATTATTTCCTTCTTTCTTCCAAGTGGGATTGAAGCATCCGCACTTGGGCCTTTCTGTTTGTTATACTTGTGTGGTCTGTGGGTTGTATTCTAAGTATTCTGTACTTTTTGACTAAGATCCACTTATCAGTGAGTACATACCACGCATGTCCTTTTGGGTCTAACTTGCCTCACTTGGAACCATATTATCTAGTTCTATTCATTTGCTGGAAAAGTTCATAATGTCTTCGTTTTTTGTTTTTTAGTTTTTTGGGGTTTTTTGTTTTGTTTTTGTTGTTGTTGTTGTTGTTTTCGAGACAGGGTTTCTCTGTATAGCCCTGGCTGTCCTGGAACTTACCCTGTAGACCAGGCTAGCCTCCAACTCTCGAACTCAGAAATCCACCTGCCTCTGCCTCCCAAGTGCTGGGATTAAAGGCATGCACCACCACCGCCTGGCAATGTCTTCATTTTTAATAGCTGAATAGTATTGCACTGTGTAAATGAACCACATTTTCTGTATCCATTCTTAAGTAGAGGGACATCTGAGTTATTTCCAGCTTCTGGCTATTACAAATAAGATTGCTAAGAGCATGGTGAAGTATGTGTCCTTGTGGTGTGATGGGGTGTCTTTTAGGTATATCCCCAAGAATAGTATAGCTGGGTCTTCAGGTAGAATTGATTTTTAATTTCCAGAGGAATCACCAGATTGATTTCCAGAGTGGTTGTACCAGTTTGCTATCCCACAAGCAATGGAGGAGTGTTCTTCTTTCTCCACATTCTCACCCATGTGCTGTCACTTGAGTTTTTTATCTTAGGCATTCTGAATGGTATGAGGTGGAATTTCAGGGTCATTTTGATTTGCATTTCTTTGATCACTAAGGACTTTGAACAGCTCTTTGTCTCTGCCTCTCTCCCTCCCTCATTCCCTCCCTCTCTCTCCCCCCTCTCTACTTCTCTCACTCCCCCCCTCTCTCTCCCTCCCTCCCTCCCTCCCTCCCTCCCTCCCTCCCCCCATCTCTGGTTTTGTTACCATTTATTTGTGAAATTTAAAAGGAGAGATAAAAAAGTAAAATTTTCCATACAATTTTTTTTGTTATCATTTGTTCTCAGTTTATCTCATCTTCAACATATGACAATGTACCAGGCCAGTCTTGGGGTTGGGGTGGGTATAGAGAGGAGCCAGGGAAGAACAGGGGCTGGGAGAAAGAGAGAAACAGAGAGAGATGGGCAGGTCAGGAGGGGCCTGTGACACTCATACCTGGTCCAAGGAATGTTCTAATTAAAAAAAAAAACCAAAAAACAAAAACAAACAAACAAACAAACAAACAAACGAAAGAAAGAAAGAGATAGCAATAGTGACTATTTCTCTCCTTCTTAAAAATTTATTTAAAAGCAAGAATAGGGCCCAGGACAGTAGGGAGATAGTAAACTGCTTCCCTCAGAGAGCTGGCTCAGAAGCTGGTGTGTGTGTAGAAAGATAAAGATAGAGATGGAGATGGAGCTGGAGATGGAGATGGAGATAGAGAGATACATAGATACTTAGTACATAGATACATAGATATATACATAGATACACACACATATATACATATACATATTTTTTTTAAATATCTTTTTGGCAGAGGTTAAGTTGTTGCTATTTTCTAAGGCTAGCTTAACCTGAAGGATCCCGATTTTGGAAAGGAAAAAGATGAGACACACAGAATGAGAAAGAGGGAACCCCTTAGCATAAAGGGCATCCCCTGCACCCAAGGCAGCCATTACTCTCTTGCCAGACCAATCAAATATAGAAACCAATAAAAGAAGCCCCCAAATGGAACAAAAATGGAAGAAAAATCTATTTTCAGAGATGAAGATAGTATCCATTTGCTTCATTTGCCTGGAAAGAAGGAGAGACAAGAATGGTCATGGCAAGAGGGCACCCTGGCTACAAGAGGCTGGGACTCCAGGCAGTGGGCCAAGAGACCTGCTTAGCCTATGGGGGCTTGGGCTTAGTCTCTTGACCCACTGCCTGACCATTTCTTTAAGTGCTTCTCAACCATTCAAGATTCTTCAGCTGTGAATTCAATCTCATGTAGCCGAGTTTAATATTTGTGCTATTTACTAAAGTACGTACCACCAAAATATACCAACTTGTAGTTTCATATGAATGTTGATGAGTTTGTTTAATAAATATAATTGTTGATACATCTTTAATTTGTGAAATATTGTATGAGGAGATTGAGTTATCAATTAAAAACACGCCTCTTTATCAAAAAAAAGAACATGTAATCAGAAGAGTGAAAGGTACCTGGAGGAAGTAAGATTCAGCTCGGAGTCTATTGAAATAGTTCAGATGAAAAGTATCCTCATCCTGAGCTTAGGGGATATAGATAGATAGATAGATAGATAGATAGATAGATAGATAGATAGACAGACAGATAGAGATTAGATATAGATAAAGGATTATTACCATTATTATTACTCAGAAGAGAAGATTTATAAAGAGATGAGTATTTGTGCTGTGTGGGGCTGTAAGAGCTTCTGAGTGCTCTTCAGCCAGTTGAGTTTGAATGCCTGTGGACACTTCAATATGGAAGTCTCTGATACATCCTCATGTCTGTAGTAACAATAGTGTTATATAACTTGAGACAGTCTGCCAAGAGGATATGGGTAAGTGGCAAAGACAAGAAATTTAGGTGCTAAAGGCAAGGAAGGAGAATTAAAGACCTCAGGAAGAAGACTGTCCAGAGTTTTGATGTGAATATTGGCATTAAATTTAGGCTACAAAGATGATGAGGAGGCAGGGCACAGCAGTAGGGCAAGAGTTGAGATGGCTTCTGATTGAGTTTTCTCTATCCCAGTTGTCACTCCACAGTTACTGTTAGTTCAGTCTTTACTTGCTTTAATAACACTATCTCTTCTCTTCTGAGACTCATCTAGAGACTTCAGACTTCTCCTACTTTGTCCAATGTTTTATTGCTTTCCTAAAGTCTTCACAGGGCAGGCATAAGAATGTCAGAAATCACGAGGACAATCTTTTGTTTAAAACCCAAGAAAGACTGACACTATTAATGATACTCTGTTATGCTTTCAGACAGGAGCCTACCACAACTGTCCTCTGAGAGGTTCCCCCAGAACCTGACTGAAATAGATGCAGAAACCCACAGCCAAACTTTGGATGGAGCTCTCGGACTCTAGAGTTGAGGCAAAGGATTGAGGGCACTGGAGGAGATAGGAACACCAAAGGAAGACCAACAGAGTGAAATAACCTCTACCTTTCATGTCTCAGAGAATAAGCCACCAAGCACAGAGCATACACAGCCTGGACAGAGGCCTCTGGCACGTAAGTAGCAGATATACAGCTCAGTATTCATATGGATCCACCCTCAACTAGATCAGAGGTTGTCCCTAAAACTATCGCCTGTCTGTGGAATCTGTTCCTCACCTGGGGTGCCTTGTCTGGCATCAGAGGCAGAGGATACACCTAACCTTGCAGAGACTTGATGAGCCAGAGTGGACAGATACACATGGGTAATCCCACTCCTCTCAGAGAAGTGGTGGAGGGATGAGGGAGAAATCCTGTGGTGGGGGGGACCAGGACAGAGCACTGATCAGGATGTAAAATGAATAAATAAATAAATAAATAAATAAATAAATAAATAAAGTAATTAATGGAAAAGAAAAGAGAAAGCCCAGGAAGGAATGTCTAGAGATATTTATCAGAACCCATAAATTGAGCCTCCAAACATACTAGGCACATTTCTAGTTCTCCTCCTCCCATGAGATGAGAAACACAGAGCTCTGCTCCACTGTGGACTAAGATTGGAGTCTGACTAGTGCACAATGGTATTGAATGAAGGTTGATAAACCATCATTGGTAAAGCCTCTAAGTCATTACTGGTGTGCACTGAGCTTGTTTTTGTGACTTTTTTCTTTTAGAGTCTGTTGAATATGATGAGAAACAGAAAAGAAAAAGCTAAAGTAAGTACAGGATCACAGGATTTTTAGGATTTATTAGACATTGCACATATTCACAGATTCTACCACAACACTAGGAGTGATATCAGAATTGCAAACTACTGGCAGGCCTCCTCCTTTCCCCACCCCCTCAGGAAGAGGCTGTGATATCTAAGGTTGAGCTTCTTGGGGTAGATACTGGGCCATAATATCCTGGAACCAGCCTGTCACAGACAGGAAGATGGTCAGGGCCAGATAGATTCATGGATGAAAAGGCCAGTCAGGGATCTTAAGGAGGTATAGATAGCTCTCTTCCCTTATGTGAGATGGTTGGAGAGTCTCTGGGACACTGGGGTGGTTGCTTTAGTTTTGGCTTCACTGCACATCATGGTTCTGCTGCTACTTCTCTGTAGTAACCAAGTCTTCTCCTTTTACTGGTTGGACTGACTTAGTCTCTTGGACTCGGTCAGTGCTTGATACTAATTGCTCTATCTGCTTCTCCTGTTGTGTTAGGTTCTCCAATTTGTGCTTCTTCCTTTCCAGTTGCTCATCTTTCTTTACTAGTTCTTGATCCAGTGGCTGGTCCAAGAGTTCCTTTTCCTGTCCTAGATGTGAGTCATCCAGCTGCTGGTTCCCTGAAGCTTTCTGTTGCTTAAGTGACTGACCCAGGCTTTTTGATCCCTGACAACCTTCATGCTCTATCTTCTGCTGCTGCTTTCCTAGGTGGAGTTCTGGATCACAAAGTTTCTGCTTCTCTTTCTGATCCTCTGCCATATCTGGATCATGTGACTCCCGGTGCTTTCCCAGGTGCAGTTCTGGGTCATGTGGTCCCTGATGCTGTTGCTTTCCCATTTGCAGTTCTGGCTCCTGAGATTCCCGGTGCTGCTGTTTTCCCAGGTGCAGTTCTGGATCCTGTGGCCCCTGACGCTGCTGCTTTCCCGGATGCAATTCTGGGTCATGTGACCTCTGATGCTGCTGCTTTCCCAGATACAGTTCTGGGTCATGTGGCTCCCAGTGTTGCTGCTTTCCCAGGTGCAGTTCTGGGTCATGTGGCCCCTGATGCTGTTGCTTTCCCAGGTGCAGTTCTGGGTCATGTGGCCCCTGATGCTGCTGCTTTCCCAGGTGCAGTTCTGGGTCATGTGGCCCCTGATGCTGCTGCTCTCCCAGGTGCAGTTCTGGGTCATGTGGCCCCTGCTGCTGCTGCTCTCCCAGGTGCAGTTCTGGCTCATGTGACTCCTGATGCTGCTGCTTTCCTGGGTGCGGCTTTGGGTCATGTGGCTCCTGATGCTGCTGCTTTCCCAGGTGCAGTTCTGGGTCATGTGGCCCCTGATGCTGCTGCTCTCCTAGATGCAGTTCTGGGTCATGTGGCTTCTGATGCTGCTGCTTTCCCAGGTGCAGTTCTGGCTCATGTGACTCTTGATGCTGTTGCTTTCCCAGGTGTGGTTCTGTTTCATGAAGCTTCTGCTTCTGGTGCTGTGCCAACTGCAGCTCCTGTTCTTGTGGTTGCTGTTGCTTCTGCTTCTGTCCCAGGTGTGTCTCCTGCTCCTGTGGCTCCTGGTATCTCTGTCCATGGTGCATTTTCTGATGTCTTTCTCCTGGAATCAGTTCTTGCTCCTCTGGTGTTTTCTGCTGCTGACCCAGATGCAGTTCTGGATCCTGCAGCTTGTCCTTCTGGTGCTGTCTCAGATGCAGCTCCTGAGGCGCCAGCATGTCTTGCTGCTGCTGCTGCTGCTGCTGCTGCCCCAGGCACAGCCCCTGACCCTGTGGCTCTTGCTGCTGCTGGTGGTGGTGGTGCTGTCTGAGATGCTGTTCTTGCTCTTGTGGCTCTTGCTGCTGTTGCTGTCCCAGGCACAGGAGCCCCAGGGGCTCCTGTGGTAGCTGCTGCTTCTCTGGATGCAGCTCCTGTTCCTGCCACTCCTGCTGTGGCTTTTTCATCTGCATCTGCTGCTTTTGTGGTCCTGGATGCTGGAAATGCTCACACGCTTGCTCAGGCAGATCCTTCACAGGGTTTTCCCCCTTCTCCTCATGTTTAGAAAGACCCTTCTCTTGAGTCTCAGTGAAGACCTGGCATTGTGCAGGATGGGGAGTCGGTTGCTTTGTTTGTTCCTGATGAGTATGAGCTGGAGAACACACAGTCTTGAGACATTCCTGAACCACAGCTGGAACAGTCACTGGCAGTGTACGTTGATGGGACATCTTGAAACCTTCTGTAGACCAAACTGAAAAACAGAAGGTCAGAGGGTGGTCTGAAGGCAAGGGAAATAGAACTGCTGAGTATACAGAATATACCTAATGACCCTTGTCCTTGGCGTCCTTACTCCTGAATAGGGCATTCTCCCACTTCCTTAGGCTGTGAATCTCAGAAGCAGAAAAAGAGTTAGGTTGGAAATGGTGAGCAAAGAAATGCTACCCAGTGAGCCCCTTGTTCACTGGAGGAGTCTTTTAAAAAGAGGTTCTGCAAGAATAGGCTGGTTGGTAATTAGCCTGCTTTTGTCTGGTCTTTCGCTGGGTCCTGGAAAGATAGTTTCTGGGATTATGTTACACCACAATATGAAGGAAACATTAGAAAAATACGGGTCTCACAGAGGACCTCAGAGCTCTAGAAAGCTTAGAGTCTGTGTTGAAGGGGATCTGGGATTCTGTGCTGAAGGGGAGCTGGTATTGCAGCAGCCTCAGACTGGACTCATCTAACACACTGCAGGCACAGCTCCCACCAAAACACTGTGTATTTATGGGCAGCTCATGTAGTATCTCTGGGTTTCTGTTATTTTTTTTCCTCCAAAAAATTAGCAGGTTGCTCTATTCAGCCTGAGAGCTCCTTTCTTCTTTGATTTTCTGAATGTGAGTTTGTAGTCCCAGGGCCAGGGTTGAAGAGTGAGTGACAGCTGGAGAGTTACTGAGAATTGGAGCTTGTTATTCCAAGTCTTGTACTTCTAATGGAATTTTCCCACTCTTGTTTTTCATGCCTTTCTCCACACAGAAAATACTACAGCATATTTCCCTCTGCACACCTACCTGCCTCCTTGAAGGATAAGTAATCCAGCTGAACCAAGCCTCAGAGCAGTATCTACCCTAACTGTGAGTAGACACCCCTAGCCATGTTCTGGTCTGTTGAAAGCTTATAGCCCTAACTAAGGTCCCACCAGCTATTACTCACCGAACTCACAGAAAGGAGAAGTCAGAGGCTTCCAGCAGAGTCTTCAGCTGAGCAGCAACTAGGGCCCTTTATATCGTTCCTGTCTATACTTCTCAGGTTGGAGGTGGTGGACTGGTTTCACCACTCCAGTTGGTCAACTTCCTCCATCTCCTTTCTGAGTCACCCGATAACTTAGACAGCAAACCCCCACACCCTCAGGGCTCCCTTTTCTAGCTCCTATTGAACCATGTGGGAGTTTGAGGGCTTAACCCCTCCTAGCTGAGATCATCTGAGCTGGGCACACGAGAGGAGAAGAGGGTGAGAAAGGTATTCTACTTTGTAAATTCAACCAAACTTACCTTTCGGTCTCAATGGATTTGAGTTTGGCCTGATTTTTAAGTTACAGCATTCATTTCCAAGGGCATAGAATGATAGATGTTTTGGGAATAGTCAGGCCAAAGTCTATGGTACAATAAGGAGTCACTTCTAAAGGGTCATATGGTCGCCATGCTATTGTGCTATGAGCCCATCTGTACTCAGAATATAACATAACTTGATTCTGTAAGGACATATGCCATGTCTTGGAAAAGATCAAGTAGATGGAAGAAGGAGGCTCAGATTCCTCCAGCTGCATGCCAGGAACTGTCCAGTCCCCACATCATACACAAAGTGTATTTATAAAAGTTCCTAGGACACCGTGCTCATAACAGCTCTTGGTTCACCTCAGGCAAGGGAAACAGAAAGGAGCACGAAGGGGATATAATGAATGCATTGCATTGCATTTCATGATGATAACCAACACTTTCTATAATTATTTTTCGAAATGTCCATCATCCAAGATCAGAACCAAATTGTCCATTACCATCTCAGAACATTGTCTTCCTTCCTTCCTTCCTTCCTTCCTTCCTTCCTTCCTTCCTTCCTTCCTTCCTTCCTTCTTTCTTCCCTCCCTCCCT